GACTTCTAAAAGAACTAACAGATCTATCCTGGAGGAAGTGCAGCTGACATGCTCCTTGGAAATGAGAATGGCCAGACTTCGTCTCACCTACTTTGGGTCATGTTGTCAAAAGGGACCAATCCCTGGAGAAGGATGTCATGTTGGTAAGGTGGAGGATCAACGAAAGAGGGGGAAGGCTTTCAACAAGATGGATTGACATGGTGGCTGCAACAATGGGCTCAAATATAGCAAGGATCATGAAGCTGGCACAGGATCAGGCAGTGTTTCATTCTGTGCATAGGGTTGCTTGAGATGGAAACAACTCAACGGCACCTAACAACAACAATAAATTATTTTAAATAAAATGTTTCCAGAATTCCCAAGCAAAAGAAATTCAGGTACCAAGTCTTAACCGATGAGGTTAGAGTGGCTGTGCCCAAGTGTCGCATATTTAGTGAGGGCCTACTTTTCCATCAGATGGGTGTACAGAAAAGAATACAGCAGGCCACCAGATAAGCTTCTAAGGAAAATCTAAACTTTAAGGGGAGTTTTATTCCTACAGTTTGGGCACCATTGTTTAAGACCCTGGATTTCTGGAAGTCCTGTAATTTTAATTTTCCTTGATAGCACATGTTCTGGTTACCTAGTAGTGCTCTGACAAGCATATACCACAAATGGGATGGCCTTAACAAACAGGAGTTTATTCTCTTACAGTTCAGGAGGCTAGAAGTCCAAATTCAAAGTGCCAGGCTCTAGGGGCTGTGTGAAAGCACCTCAGCTTTGGGCTTCAGCTCTGCCTCCAACCCCTGGCCCACTGAAGCTGGAGGCTTTTCTTCACTCCGACCGCTGCTGGCTGCTGAGGCTGCTAAGCCCAAGGTTGACAAGTGAAAAAGGCACAGTCCCAATGTTAGCAAACCACATGGCAGGCCATTAATTCAAGTCCATTGTAAGTCCTAAGGTCAGCAGACCATGGCAGGCTGCTGAGCAATGACATGGCTACGTGCAGGGTTCAGGCATGCCATAAGCTAGAGACCATTCCCAACGCTGCTGCTTATATACAGGAAGCAGACCACATACCCAAAGCAGCTACTCAGCTGCTTGTGGTAGATCCCACCATGGAGTTGATTGCCGGTCTCATCATGGGGAATAACTACCACCAGCTGTCCAGCCACTCAACCAGGCCTAGCCAAGTTAACACACAAACATAACCACCACAGCACATCTGAGAAGAGTAGAGAGATTCCGTCCTTCTTAGTTCAGCCTAAGAATCACCTGGGGCAGTCATTTAACCTTGCTGAGCCTCTGAAAAGTTGGGATAATATTGGCTGATTTCTGCTTTCCACATAATACCAGTACTCACAGTATTTTGGCAAGAAATGTTAATTACTGAGACCTCTTTGAATTTCTTTGAAGCTGCTGAGATATTTAAGGTGTATGACAAACATGGCAGGGTTGATATTTTATCATTTATATTAAGTATTTACAATGCTGTATTTATGCTCATAGACAGGTCAACTCCACATTATCTGTTTTAATGTTATGTATGTCCATTTCTGGGCTTCTTTCATCATCTCATACCATTTGATAGGTGGTTTATCCCTGGAAGATGGCATGTTGGAGATTTGAGGTCATTTAATATTTACCTAAGCAAGCATTCAAGGAAGAGTACCTCTTAGACAACTTTGGTTTTGTACCTTGTAATTCTTGCTGCTTCTGTTCACTCCTTAAGGTTTTTGCCAGCTCTTACACTGCTCTCTCCTCAACTTGTTTGCCTTCTTTGGAGCTCTCTATTTCTTCCTTCCTTCCTTGAGTATGAACTTCCCTTTTCTCTCTAGTCAGCTTCACCCACTCTGTCTCCCTCTTCATGGTCCTATCCTTCCCACCAATGGTTTTATGAATGTTGCTGCCCTGGCCACTTAGGGTGTTTCTTTAGCAGCCTCAGTGCTTCCGTTTGGTTGTGCCAGCCCATGCTGGGCATGCTATGGTGCTAGGGCCCCACTTGGTTTAGTGGAGGGTGAGATGGAAGACAGAGCTAACCACTGTCCCAGCACTCCATCATCTGTGTTTGACCTTACTCCTTCTCTGGACTCTTTAGACTCAGTTGTTACTTCATGGGACAGTGAGATGGGAATGTCAAATTATTTGGGGACATGTTTGGATGCTAATCTGAAGAAAAGCCACCAGGTCTCATTACCAGTATCTACTGATACCAGTATGTAAGCATTGACTCTTCCCAAAATGAATTATGGAAAACATTTTAGTAGGCATTCAACAATTCCCTAAGTAGAACAATAATACTGTTTCTATTCCTGGAGGAAGTCCCATCTCTGGTTATTCAACACACATAAAGTTTCCCCCATACTATTGCCACATTGGTCCTGTCAAGATGACAGCAAGAGTCCTAACAGGTGATAAAGGTGTATTACTGAGTTCATGGAATCAAGTGAGTCTTATTCTGTGTCAGGGGTCCCAAGACCACCTTCAAGCTTGATGATTTGCTAGAAAGAACATGAGACTCAGAGAGAAAAAACTGTTAGACTAATAGTTACAGTTAATTACAGCAAAAGGACACAAATTAAAATCAGCAAAAGGAAAAGGTATGCAGGGTGAAGTCCTGGAGAAACCAGGCATAAGCTTCCAGGTATCTTTTTCACACCCAACCAAAAAACAAACCCATGGCCATTGAGTCAATTCTGACTCATAGCAGCACTATAGGATAAAGTAGAACTGCACCATAGGGTTTCCAAGGCTATAAATCTTTATGGAAGCAGACTGCCTCATCTTTCTCCTCATCTCCCATTTTTATTGGGTTTGAACTGCCAACCTTTTGGTTATCAGCTGAATGCCATTAGCTACTGCACCACCAAAGCTCCTTGGATTCACACCAGACACACTTAATTCACCCAGCAATAATGTGTGAAGTGCTGACAACCAGGAAAGTTCACTTGAGCCTTGATGTCCAAGATTTTTATTGGGGAGTCAGTCACATAGGCATACAGCATCTGTGTGATGGACCTCAGCTCCCATCCAGCCATACAGCCAAACAGGAATTCAGCATAATGTCATCTCCAGCCATCCAGAGCAAAATAGGCATTCAGTATAAATCACACTGTTAGAATAATGTATCTAATTAAACTGGTACCATGTAGCCCAAGACCTCAGGCATACAAAAACACCCTCATCAGGCAGAAAATTGTAAAGGCTCAGAGCTCATCTCCCAGGAGCAGTCCAAGGGCCAGTCCTGAAGACAGACCTTTCTTGGGAAAATGCCAAGTAACCCAGGCCTGCTGAGTTAATGGGAATGTCAAATTATGGGTTACTTTTCTGCGCACATTATCAGGGTCAAGACATTGGAAGGCTTTAGTCACATGACAGAATTTCTCATTACCTATCTGCTACTTTCCAAAAGTCACATTCTCTCTACTTAGGGTCTTTGTGATTCAGAATAATAGCCAAAGAATTATTTTTTTAAAAAGTCGGTCATCTAGAGCAAGTGCCCCGTAGTAAATTATCACTGTTGTTGTTGTTATTGTCAGAATTCCTCTTATTCAGTGGGTGGGGGCATGGAATGAGGCCAGAATGGTTCCTTGTGATCTTAGAACAGCTCTGAGGTGCCTTTTCCCAGATTCTGAAGATAAAGATGACTTCAGAACAGTGTGCCTGTACTCCACACTGGCACACACATTTATTAACCTTTTCTCTTGTTCTCTGTCTCCCTTTCCCTGGCAGTGGCTCAGAAACCCAGGCCCCCAGCATGAGAAGCGGACTCTGTTTGGAGACATGGTGTGCTTCTTGTTTATAACGCCCCTGGCCACCATCTCAGGCTGGCTTTGCCTGCGGGGCGCTGTGGACCATCTGCACTTTAGCAGTCGGCTCGAAGCCGTCGGACTGATTGCACTCACTGTTGCACTCTTCACTATTTACCTCTTTTGGACACTAGTAAGTATGGCCTGGGGCCCAGGGTTCAGACCAGCTGGAGCTGGCAGCCCCACAGCGGGCACAAGCCTTCCCTCTTGTCACAGCACATCTCACCTGCCTGGTGGAAGACAGACCTTCAAATGCCAGTGGGAGTTTGTGATTTGGTTTTATTACTACATGTGAGTGTGTGTGCATATATATATGTGCATGCACACATATACATTCACTGCTATGGAGAGCAGATAAAATAAAGAAAAAGCCCCAGCTTCTGAGTGCCCACAGTTGAAGACACACCCTGGACATTCTGTCCTCGAGTAGTCTAGGACTCCATCATTTTAAGGCACAGCGTTTTCTTTCTCTTGGTTATGTTTCTTACTTGTGCTAGGATTGTACTGTATTATGAATGACGCACTTGGCCTGCATTGATATGAATCCTTCCTGCTGGTTATTTTCTTCTTGTGTCCTGACACCGTCTTTGATGGACATGGAGCTGTACTTAGCCTGATGATTATTCCACGTATTGTGATACTGACTCTGCTGCCTATGAAAACACTAATTTATCTAGCTGAGAAGCTGCCGCCAAAGAAAAACCATTTCCCAGTAAAGATTCCCACCATACCTGAAGAGAAATGTTTAAACACCTCTTTCTTTTCACCTTTCAACTTCCTGCAGTGAATTGATTGCTTGGCACCAGCTGGCAGCACCTACAAAGTGCACATTTGATCACTCTGTGCTTCCCTCTGGGACCTGCAGGAAAGACATCACTACCTTCTAGAATAGTTTCAGAAATACAGCCCCCTGCTTCCTGGCATTACTCTCTCCTCTGCTGCTTGTTTCTAATCTGAGCACATTCCATTGTTATTCAACATGTATTTCCTGTCTAAAGTGTATATTTGCATATCCCATAGCACAGTGTCAGCACATGGAAGTTGTTTCCAGCCCTCACACATCCCCCTTTCCTTGGTCTCCTAAGCCCTGTTCCATCGGCCGCAGCTCCTGCAACCCAGACTGCAACCCCCATCTCATGTCCCTCTTATTCATCACATGGCTCTTCTAACGCTGTACCTCCCCTCAGACGAGTAATTAGACAGTAAGGGGCAAGTGCACATTTCAGTCTTAGTAAGAGGGGTGTGACTCGAGTATTGGTAAATACAGAGTGTTCTAATGCGAGAACCTTTATCTGAGTCCACTGGATAATGTAGACATTCAGTTCTCAGACTAAAGAAGTTCCAAGCTAAACCAGCCATGCCTCTTTTAAAATGCCGTATTTCCAAAATGTATGTCCTGGTTCATTGTGAATTAAGCATTTCAGCTGATCCAGGAGTGAAAAGGTTGTTGTGATAGGAGGAGGGTTAGAGATAAGAAATTAAATACTCTAGCCCTATCTAACTCCCTGTCAATGATACCACCTTGGGAAAGTCATTTCCCTTCTCTGAGCCTGTGTCCTCTACTGTAAAGTGGGGGTGATAGCCTGTCCAGCCAAATTCTCCCTAGTGCTAAGAGAGTCAAGTGAGAGAGTACACCTGAAAACACTTTGGGAAGTAATTAAGAGGAAGACTTTTACTAGTTTAGGTTTACTAGTCTCTGATTTTTCTCAAAGGAGTTTCTAAAAGGGGAATGTGTAAACCCAAATACTCTGCTTTCAAAACCAATTTAAGCCCCTTTTAAAAACCTACTTTGTGAAGCATAATCTTACCTAACCAGAAAGAGCTCTCATGGCACAGTGGTTAACCACTTGGCTACTAACCAAAAGTTGACAGTTCAAACCCACCAGTCACTCCATGGAAGAAGGATGGGCAGTCTGTTTCTGTAAAGATTTACAGCCTTAGGAAATTCTATGGGTTAGTTTTACTCTGTCCTACAGGATCACTGTGTATAGGAATTGAATCAAAGCCACAGGTTACTTAGCCAGAAAGAAAAAAGAGGGCAGCAGATAAAGAGAGGGAGAAATGAAAGGAAGAAAAAGATAACCTAGTGGAAACTGGATGGGGCCCTGTTTCCTCTCCCATCAAGTGAAAAGAAGATTTGGATGGAAAAGATGCTTAGGCTGGGATTTTTTTTCTTCTTCTTTTAAAATTTTTTATTGTGATTTGGATGCAGTTTTACAAAGCAGATTCATTTTATATTCAGCAGCTCATACACATTTTGTTCCATGACTGATTACAATCCCCACAAGGTAACACTTCTCCTCCCACCTCCTCGTGTGATTGCCCCTTCCCTGTGTCTGTCTTAACCTTTGTTCCTGCCTGCTTAGACTTCCCCGTGTATACATGCTGCCCTTCTGATCTTAGACTGGGATTTTTTTAAGAGAATGATCACATACTTCATTTCAAAAGCGTTTCTGAGAAACAGTGCTGCATAGCAAGAACTGTGGGTGTTTAGAATCCAAGAGATTTATGTTTGAACCCAAGATTTAGTATCCATCCTACTAGCTATGTAACTTTAAATAGGTACTTAACCTATCTGATCATCCTTCCTCAGATACCAATAAAAAAAGAAGAAGAAGGAAATAATCAAAATAATCATAACCCCTCGGTCAGTAGGTTATTGAGTGGGAGAACATCTATCAGAGTACCTGGCAGAGTTTTAAAGCTTGGTTTTCTTCTATGGCTTCTTTGTTTCCCCCAGCTTCTAGCCTCCTCCAGTCCTCTGTAAAATGCAGAGTAGCAGGAGGGAAGGAAAGGTATTTCTCCCCTTTGACTGGTGTGAAAAACGTGCTGCAGAGTCAATGCAGCAATAGGTTACTGAATATAGAATAACTCCTTCCCAGATAAATGCTGTACTGAGCAGCCCTGGCAAGAGCCGTAATTCAGAAGCTGACAGCACTTGGAAACTGCCCTACGGCAGAAACCCATTGTAAACAAGCTGTCAAGCTTAAGGAGAATATGCTGTGAAAATACCTTAGATAAACAAACACCGTGTCAGTCCAAGCCTGCTCCTCACAGGAGCCATGCCTAGAAGGGTCTCAATGGGTGCTCTGAAGAGAGACCAGCACTTACACACTCAATGCCTGAAAGTGCCTTTGAAGTTTCTCTCTGGCTCACTTGGCCATGAGGGCCAGCTATGACACACATGTGGGGAGTTCTGCCTTCTGAAACCTGCTACATGGAAACACAAACATCTGGGGATCCAGGCAGCCAAGACTTCAGCCATTTCCATGCACTCCAAGAGTTCAGGGGAAAAGGTACCAGAAACATCACTGTTCATGTCACATGGACAGAGAAAAAAGAGAGCTAAATAAGGGCTGAATCTACATTATTAAGATATTGTCCATAATTAGTATTAGCCCAGTTTCAAGTAAGAGAATCAAGGTACCACGGTATATTGATCCACAGGACGTCTTATTCACATTGTCATAGCTGCAGCCAGGGCCCAACACAGAAACTTAGGTTAAATCATTGAATGAAATGAGTGAACAATCCAGTTCCTCAAAGGCTAACTCCCAAATCCATGGGTTAATCATTTAAATCTTTGGTTTAAATCTCCAATAGAATGCTGTCCCAACACAGTTCACTGAGGGCTAGTTTAGAAGGCTCCCTTAGACAACCTGAAGAGCAGTTTGAGAGCAGAGAGTGTGATACGGTACAGGGTGCCCGGAATTTTTCTGGCCAGTACTCTTCTAGTTGCCATCAAGTCAATTCCAACTCTTGATGACCCCCTGTGTTGCAGAATAGAACTGCTCCTTGGGGCTTTCAAGCTGAGATCTTTCAGAAGCAGATTGCCAAGGCCTTCCTTCTGAGATGCCTCTGGGGTGTGGGGCTTATAGGTCCCTGGGTGGCACAAATGGTTTGTCCTCAAAAACCATGTGTAGGAACTCTGGTAGCGTAGTGCCTAAAGCACTTGACTGCTAACCAGAAGGCTGGCGGTTCAAACTCACCAGCCACTCCTCGGGAGGAAGATGGGGCAATTTACTTCCATAGTGATACTCCCCCCCAGGGAGGGGTCGCTATGAGTCGGATCTGACTCGATGGCACATAACAACAACAACAGCCCGCTAAAAGTTGGAGGTTGGAATCCACCCAATAGCACCGTGGAAGAAAGGCCTTGCAGTCTGCTTCTGTAAAGATTACAGCCAAGAAAACTACATGAAGCTCAAGTCTGCTCTGTAACACACAGGGTCACCTTGAGTCAGAATCAAGTCAATGGCAAAGGGTTTGGCTTGGTTTACATTCCCCTCCCACAGTGCAGTCAGAGATGAGTGAGCTATGTCCATCTGTGAGAAGACTTACCAAAGCCCTGGTCCCATCAGTATGCTTCAGTTGCACCATAACTTCCAGAAAGAAAGGGCAAAATGAAAATACATAATTTGAAGATTTTACCTTGCAGTAACTTTACAGCAAACCTTCCCCACAGCCTCAGTCACCTCCTTGACTGCGAGAGAGGGGTTCCCAACATTTTCTGACCCTTCTTAAGCCATTCAGTTGATGCAACTCTTTCTACAAACTTTGCCCAGGATACGAACTTAATAACTTAATAAATATCCCTTCTATGAATCAATGAGGGAACCACAGAACTCTACCTCATAATGTGTGATTTTTCTAAAATAGTGACCCTGGATTCTTACTTCTTCCATTCCCCTCAAAACCTCAGAAGTTAAGAAATAGCTAAACAAAGTTCCCAACATTTCTACTGCATAGATGCTTTTTATTTTATCGAATTCATTTTTTGCTTACTGCTTTATTCCTCTAAATCAAATCTCCTTTTGTTCTCTTTGTTCCATGGCTGGGGGGTAGGGGATTGTGTTAGAGTATCTAGTAGCAGAAACAGGTATTAACCGGGGGTAACTGCAAACCTGTGGCCCCCTCTGCAATTGTGCTCAATTCCTTTTATTTTCCCTGATAAGGAGTCAGCTTCACATGATGCTTTCTTCCTATTGATTGAATTTGCCTGCAGACTGTAAGTGGTTAACAGCAATTAAAAGATTAATGTATAGTCAGATCTCATTTATTTGGCTAAACAAATGGGCTTTTATATATTTGTTTGTTTGTTTGTTTAATTCTTTGGCCAAGGAACTGAATCATTGACTCCCTGTGTTACTTAAAGCAGTGCTTCTTAAGCCTGAATGTGCATGCAAATCACCTGGGGACCTCGTTAAAATGCAGACTGTCATTCCAAAGGCCTGGGGTTGGGCCTAAAATTCTAAAATTCTAACAAGCTCCCAAGTGACTAAAGCTGTTTTTGGTCCATGGACCACAGGAAATAGCCCAACCTCATTTTTTTTTTTTTTTTTTTTCTTTTACGGTCATATGCATGTGAAAGCTGGACAATGAACAAGGAAGACGGAAGAAGAGTTGATGCTTTTGAGTTGTGGTGTTGGAGAAGAATACTCAAAGTACCAAAGACTGCCTGAAGAAGTAACAAATCCTTCCTGTAAGAAGTGCAGCTGGAGTGCTCCTTGGAATTGAGAATGGCCAGACTTCATCTCACCTACTTTCTTCATGTCATCAGAAGAGACCATTCCCTGGAGAAGGATATCATGTTTGGTAAAGCCGAGGGCCAGCAAAAAAGGGGAAAGCCCTCAACGAGATGGATTGATACAGTGGCTACAATGATGGGCTCAGGTATAGCAGGGGTGTGAGTCTGGCACAGGATTGGGTAGTGTTTCATTCTGTTGTACACATGGTTGCTATGAGGTGGAGGCAACTCGACCACACCTAACAACAACTATTGTAAAAACTGAAGGAAAAGTTTATACATGTATGGGATTTCTTTGGTGGTTACCAGGGATGGAAGTGTATTGGAGAATTTGTTGATAGGTTGGGGGGGG